ACAAACTTATCGGGTCCGTAGACAATGACATGCCAGTCATCAACGTAAATCAACGTGTAGAAGTGATCCACATGTAGCACACGAAAAGCCCACCGGCCTACGGCCGCAAATAACCTGGTCCAGTAATAAGCTGCCGAGCTTATGCCGAATGTCCCGACTCGATTGAGCCATAGCACCCGAGACTGGCTCGATGATTTGCATGCCATGCGCGGCCAGTCTGATTCACGCACTTTAACGTTCCGATGTGCTTGCTTGATGTCAGCACACAACGCAAACGGAGCCTCCTTGCTTTCTTTGACCCTTGAAGCCACCTCCTGCAAATCCTCTGGCCCCGGAACCTGCAGCTTGTCAAGGATCCGGATTTTATTGTTCAAGTTGATGCCATGTGTTCCATCGTGCAATGGCCGCACATCTCCATTGGCCTTTGTAACTGCACCCATCGCGGCGATGAGCACAGCATCTTCGCCATAAGTCCTTTTGGCCTCAGCCTCCGTCGTGCAAAGCATCAACCCAGCACTCTCGTCCTCCCGGAATTTGGCTTCAAGCTGCTCCGCGTTCAACTCCGCAGACCGATAGTTCAGCATCGAAGGATCATACTCGGATTCGTCAAGCTTCCTGAAAGTTGTCCGTTGGGAAAAGACCTGAGGGGTCCTCGGGATAGGTTTATCCCAGCCCAGCGGGACCCCCTCTGCAAACGACTCCGTTCCGTGATCCAGTATCCTGAAGTCGGGATCACCCAGAACCTCAAGCGACTGCGAAAGCAAGTGCAGCATGAAGGGCTGTCCCGGTGGCATGCGGAGAGCAGCTTCAGGATCTGGCAACAAGTTAGCTAACTTGGTGCGGACCCTTTGTACAACCTCTTGACCGAAAGGCGATGCTTTCATCCTGCCCGTGGCCAGGGCATATGCCGCAGCTCTCGGGTCCTTGATCGTCGTACGGACCTCCTCCAACAAGACGCCCCGGAGCTTCTCTGCATGCTCCCATTCAGATGAGCTAGCCCTCGCATCACGAGCCAAGGGACGCCAACGACCGGGAGAGCACAAGCCAAAACCGTCCACCAATTCTCGCCATTCCTTAGTGTGCCGACATTTGATAGCAGGGCCACGGCATCGGCTCGTCGATGCGTCGAAGTCCTCCACCTTGTCTTCTCCTTCATCGGAACTCGGCACCTCGATTGCGGGTTCCTGCTCAGGTGCCTGCGGAGTGGGCCCTTCCACAGGGTGCTAACAGGAGCCTGCTGGGTGGGCCCTCCGGCAGGGGTGCTACTGGGATCAGGGGCCCCAGGAGCGGCGGCTCCGCGGGGGGTGTTAACAAGAATGGCCTCCAAGAGGGGTGTTAAGGACTGTTTGTGGGTCCTTGCCGTCGATCGCTACTGCCCGCCCCTTCTTTAGAGCTGGCGAAGACGGCAGCACAAAGCCTAAGGACAGCAGCAAGCCGTGGTCGGCTGGTGGCAGCTCATTTGTGCGCTGCGTGGTGAAGCCAATGAGCATGAGTCGGTCACCTGTCCAAGGCTCGGTTTGATGAAACACTTCATGAGCTGGCAGAACCTGGGGACCGTCCGCAACAGGCAGCAAGCAACCATTTCGAGCGATCCCGCGGACTTCACGGACAACAGTCCCAGTGGAGCACTCGTGCCACACTTCACCATGTTGAAATTTGGACAAGGCCAGCAGCAAATTAGGATGCGGTGCATTACGACTGTCTTTGTGCATGCTAGCAGCCACATTGTCAAAGATTGCGAAGGAGCTAAAGACCTGACCTGGGAAAGCCTGTCGCAACAAGCAAGTGAAGCATTGCACCACCATCGGAAAGTTCCGGCAACTTTGACGCAAGCCGAAGAAGGGACCTTTGCAGAATGCGCCCGCGAAGAAAGCCTTGCCTGGCATGTCCGAGTCTCCCGCGGCAGCAGGATGCGGGCGTACGGCACCAACCGTGCCAGTGCCTCGCCTTCATGTTGCGACAAAGATCTGTCTTGGCTGAGCAGCCAGCCAGAAAAGTCCTCGGCTCCTTGAAAGGAGTGGTCTGTGGCCCGTGCTTCCTGCACATGCTCGTGCGAACAAGTGGCGATAAAGTCAAGAAAAGCAGCTGGGAAAGCAGCGTGAGTGACCCAATCTTTGCTGTCCCTCCCAGCCAACAGCCCTCATGTGCACATGCCCACAAGGCCCAAGCGGCCCCACATACCATCCATCCGAATCAAGCTGGGGCCAAGGCGAGCTTTCAAACGAGCCTTTCAAGTTCGTGAGGATACGGGTGGGATGTGCCACATCGGCACCATATTGACACATGTGTGTGACCCATGTCCTGGCGCCAGGAATGGACAGCACTTCTTCCCGCTGCCAAATGCTAGCGGGCTCTTGAAGATTACGGAGCTTGCCAAGGTCCTCAGGATGAACCAAGAGCCAACCCACACTTTGCTCCGAAAGAACCTGAAGAAGACCAAAACACTTATCAATGATAAAGTCTTC